CATTTAATAATTTCTGTTCATTTCATTCACTTTAAGAAATGAATGTAATGATTGCCACAGTGTTCTGCACTACTGTTGTCTATTGATAAATATGGAACAGGTATAACAACAAGCTTGCTCTTTTTTCTATTTAAAAATTCACTGAGCTAACAAGTTATTTGTGCAATGCCAAAGTAATCACAGGTCTTTGCTCTCGAGTTTCAACAGTCAGTTTCCACAAGGGTGTCTGCTAAGCTACATTTCACAAGTAGGACTAGATCAACAGTGGTGTTAGGCTTCCAGGAGTGTTCATAAAACATGAGTACAAAACTCTACTCAGGTGTTGCCTGAGTCTAGAGGGGCCCATATCCCCACAGGTATGGAAGTTCCATCAATAAATGGCTCATTTTAAAAGGAATGACCTCTCTGTCTTCATTGAAAGGGGCTTTAATACCAAAGAAGTTTCAGGGCTGTGAACTGGGAGCAGAGGGAGAGGCTTGTCTGCTGCCTAAAGCGAAGCACAGCTCTTGGTCCGGTGGGTGGGATCCACACACTACACAGGGAGGCACATCATTCACCTGGGGGCACGAAGCAGCAAAATGCCTGAAAACTAATGCTGCAACATAGACTCTGCTACACTTCTACTCCTTTATAGATGCATCCCTTCACCACTAGGCACGTCCTCGTAGCATCTCACTTTCGGCAACAGCACCAAGCCTTTCTCTTCTGCAGCATCCATATGGGAGGAGCTCAGAGGGACAAAGTAAACCTAAGCAAGTGTGGGGTGTAACTCCAGTGAAATTAGAAACATTTCTAGAGAAAGGGGAAATGTTTTGGGAACATTCCACTAGTGTTTGAAAGTATCAAAGGTGACAGTTCTGAGACATCCAAGGCTCTCCCCGGCTACAGTGACTATTTCTAAATAGCAGCAGTCACTGTTTCAGGCTTGCTGAGCCTTAGCTTTCTCAAGGCTCTGGGGGAACAGCAGTCAGCATGATGGCTGTGAGCAATACTGGGAGCCTGCCCAGGCAAGGAAAGGGGATGATCTGATAATGATAAGAAAGTGTGATGAATTATTCCCGTGCTTGTCATCTTTATTTAAGTTACTGCCTTTTGCATCCAGGGGAACCACAGTCCTTCCAAAAGAGTTGCTTTGGCTTTCTTAATATTAGGAGACAGTTGTGACATTTGTCCTGCCCTGGGCATAATTAAACTCAAGGCATTTTCAGTGCATTTTCTTCTCCATAATGATCTCCCTGTTTCTTTATCTGAGGAACCCAAAGTTCATTAACAAATCCTCACTAAAGTCTTCTGGAGACTGATCCTTTCCCTGTGCTGTAGCATAGAGAAGAGAAAGTAATGGTTGCAATGCAAAAATGCACAAATCTTTTGCTTGCCTGTTTGTTTCCTTTCTTTGAAAAAGGTTGTTATTGCAGCTTCCCTTCTAGAAACAGACTTTTACACACCAGTGCAATAGAGAAACAATGTTTGCAGGGATTCCTGATACTATATAAGACAGAAATCAAGTTCTCAAGATCATATATGACGCAGCGGCAGAGCTGAGCATGGACTTCAGGAATCCAGAGCCTCAGTCTCTTCAACAGTCACATTTCCCTCTGAGCTCAGCACCTCAGCCTGCTGTCTCCCGATGTTTATTTCTGGTGCACACTACAGCATAGCTGGTTACTTTAAGACAGGCAATATTATCTGCTTTGTCTATATCTGATTTTTATTCCTTAGAATAGAAAGGTTAAGCAACAAATACAATGTTGCAACAAATACAACCAGCATCCAGCCCAAACAGTTTTCCAGACTGTTACATCACACAACAGCATTCTTAAAGGCGCACACCTTTGGTTAGGTCTCTTTGCCCCACTCCTCCCTAACAAGAGCTGCAAAAGATATTCTGATTTCTGGTCTCATTATCTCAGCAGTTTCCTTGCTTATTTACCTCCCTGGCATTTATCGTCTTAGATAAGCAGCAATACTATCCTTGCGTGGTCCTTTCTATCAGCTGCGCCCTACTCTCCTGGCCCTCTCAGGAAGAGGAACTCTTAATCCCTGGTTATTTTAGGGGTCTCTACTAGCTTGAGTTCCCCTTTCTCACCTAACCAGAACAGCACACACTGTTCCAAGGCTTGTCTCACCCAGACATTAATTCTCTTCTAATTTACCCCAGTACAATTTTGGACTGGTGCACACCAATCCGTTTCCCAGCTGCAACACTTTGCTGACTTCTGTTCTGTTCTTTCCAAAGGATGAGTCTCCAGCTTCCAGCAAAAAATACTTGGTATTTGTCCCTAACTACATAATCACATACTACATAATCTCCTGCCATTCTAGCATCCTTGTCCTGAGGTCACCCAGTTCTCCCCACGTGACATTCGCTGTTCTTTCCCAGAACTATGCAGCATGCTGCATAATGTCTAAAAGCAACTACAAATCCTCTCCCCATTTCTAGAAGCTCCGGTACAGATTAGACAGTCTAGACAGACAATAGGAAGAAAGAATAAAGGATTTCTAAGGACTTTTCTGTATAATCCTGCTTGCAATATTCAACTGCTTAGCAAAGTGCCAGAAGCACCATCTTTTTATATCTTGTCTACTGATCACTTTGATAAAATTTGTCATCTTCTCATTCTCCTAAGCAGTTATTTAACAACTATGTATTTAAGTCACATAGAATTACTAATCAGCGTAAAACCTGTTTGAGAGAACATTGTTGAAATGATACTATGAACGTGTCCCCTCAAACCAAAGGAATTCTGCGCTCATTTGTTCAGACTGATGTCGGCATGTGTAAGCATTGCTACGTGTCCTCCGGAATCACAGTAACTGGCTTCAGAAGTGGTACTTCCCGTAGCCTGAAGTTCTGGACCTTGCTTTATTATGTGATTAAAATAAGGAATTGAAAGATGAGGTATTTATCATCTTAGATTTGAGAGACTTTAAGTACAAATATCAATTCAGAAGGAATACAGGGCTGCTGCCTTTGAAAGACCGGGTAGACTATCTTCACAACTGGATGCAACTGAGAAGATGTGGCTCAGGAAAAGCAAACAGGGATTTTTCATATGGGAATAGTGAACACGACACAGACCCTAGGACGAGAGAGGACACACACATCCTGCAGATCACTCCAGAGGTGCTATGGCCCCGCTCCCACACGGCCCCACTCCCGGAGCGCCTTCTCCTGCTGGCCGCGAAGCCCTGCTCCCTGCTTAGTGCTATGGCCCCGCTCCCACCGCATGCACGGCCCCACTCCCGGAGCGCCTTCTCCTGCTGGCCGCAAAGCCCTGCTTTCGGGCTAGGCATCCATCCAACCCTCCACCCTGAATGAGGCAGGCGAGTGTTTAGGGGATGCAGCTGCATTTCTAAAGCACTCCAGGTTAGTATTTTAACTTTACTAACATGGAAACTAGGCTTAGGGACTTACTTCCAGGAAGCTGAGGATTGTGAGCCCAGGGGAAACAATTCCCTGGACAGACTACACTATCTGTCTCTGAGCTAGGCAGCCACATGCCTGGATACCCGCCATGTCACACTTGCTGTGCTTACCCTGAGCAACACTCCATATTTCTGTCTGGGGCTACCTGACAGGAAACATACATGGGAACATTATTCAGATCCCCTCTTTTTTTTCCTGGAATATAGGGCACCTTTGCTTAGGTACTACCATGTCCTGCTTTGCAGCCCTTCCTACAGGACTAGGTCTATGTAACTTGCCTCCGTTCATTCGATGCACACAAAGCAAAGCTGGGAGCAGAGCATTCAAATCAATTCTTAGTCCACATCATTAGCCACAATCTCTCCCTTAAGGGGTATAAACTAAAGGTATCCAAGTTCGCAGCCAGCATCTTTCTGATCCTCATTTCACCTATTCATAAAAGAATGCTGCACCACAGGACGCTGATTTTTATCACATTCTGGATATGGCTACTCCCAGGCACTGATCTGGAACACAAACTTAAGTACTGAGGCCAAAATTCACTAATTACCTGGATATTTATGTAGCAATCCTGGTATCGGTTAAAGAAAATGCTCTGACACAAGGAAACAAGAACAACTCAGGTTAGTTATTTGTAGAGTCTCCCGGCTACGCATGGGGCTTTGCAAGCAAAAAGGCAGTGGGCCAAGTTCTCAGGAGTGCTCAGTTCCCGCTGAGAACCACCTCTTCTGTGGTTAATTGGAAGTTAAGTGCCAAGCTCTTTGGAAAAATGTCTCTTTAAGCAAAGCAACGGAAACTGTGCAAGATTGAGCACTGAGTCCTTAATAAGCCCTCAGGAAACAGACCAGAAGCTCAGCTTCCTTCTGCTGGTCACAGAGGCATAAAGAGACCAGAAGTTATATTTTTATTTTTAAAGCATCTAAGGAATCTGGAATACTAAGGAACTTTGAAAGCAGATGGGCAACTCCCTGCACCCCATCACTGGCTTCAGGAAACCCCAACCTTCAAAGTCCTGAGGCTCAAAATGTTGGGGACACTAAGCAAGCACTAGGCAATCATAATTAGCCACTTACATGCACGTAAATTTTGCCCGCACCTTCCCATGGCAGACAAACTGCCCTGCTTATAAAATAACCCTTAACTGATCTGCCAGAGGCAACAAAGCCAGTCAAGGCCAGAACTGGATTAAAGATCTAGGGATTTCCAGTCCCCTGAAATACCCATTAAACTATATCGCCCTGGTCTGTTGCCAGCTATTAGGAAATTACCCTAGCAAGGAGCATTCCAAAGAGAACTTGCAAGACAGGCTCGAGCTCTCCTACAAACCGTATTAAATAAATGGCCGGTTTGGCTAGGGAACAATGTTATAAATACTTGAGCTACAAATCAAGAGCATGTTGGAGAGCTGTGCTGTCAAGCTAGTTGTCAGCTGCAGCATCACCAGTACAGGAGCTTATTTCATAACTAAAACCTGCAAATCCCACCCAGTGACCTATATTTGAAGTGTGGGTCTCTGGGGAAGTTGCCGACTGTCCCTTGAAATTTGCCAGAACCAAGCTGGTCCATATGTATTTTAGGACGAGGGACCAGACGTCTGCTGCAAGGCCCGACTCACAGCGCTGGCGGGTGGCCCAGCGCCAGGGGATCTCTTCCTCCACTGGAAGCAAACCATGGTGCGTTCACTCTGCTCCTGGCCCCACAGGCGGGCAAGGCTCACCGCAGTTTGTCCCTCGCTGTCTGGGCCAAGAGCTCGTGCCCCATAGCTAAGGAGCAGTTCAATGCAGTCACACTGGCCCGCGACAGCGGCGACGTGAAGGGCAGTCCTTCCGAGCGGGGTTTTAGAATGCAAATCCACACCTGCAAAAAATCATACATAGTCCGAGCGTGACAAGGCATACGAAAGGAGGCAATGCCACCTGCGGGCCACAACGCACATTTTTTTTTTCTGAAGGCAGATGCAGTTCTTTTTACTCACATCAAATCAGCGGAATTAACAAACCTGTCTAGTGAACAAATGCTCCTGCCCTTAGCTCACACACAACTGGATATTCTTTGTTCCGCTCAGGGGAACATTGCTAGCTTTGCCGCAGCTAGGCATTGCCATTGCTTTTGTACTGGGAGCTCTCACTTATTGGGAGATGACAATGTCCTTTAACAGGGACCAACTTTGAGGAGGCCAGGCTCAAGAACCGGGATTGAAGGGAGCACCTCAGACAAGGTGGGATTTCCTCCTCAGCGCTCACTTTCAATGCTAAAAAAAAAGTGATTAACAAATGTCGTTTCATTCAGGACAATCAAGTGAGCTCAGCTGACCCAAAGGACTGTCCATTGTGCAAATGCAGATTTCTGGGGAAAGAAGGCTTATTTAGTTGCAAAGCAACAAAAAAGCCCAAACGTCAGAGCCATAGAACTTGTGCTCACAACGCTTCTTGTATTTCAGTGGTTGGTAAAGCACTGCACAGGACTGATAAAAACTAAGCATTTCTAGATAATAAAAGAAAATAGCAATAGAAGAGACTCAAAGAGAGAAGTAAAAATCAGAAATCTTGTTTCTCAGTATGAATTTCTCTAACACCAAATATCATTACACTTAGCAAGAACGGCAGTTTTTATTGTCTCCAAGTCTACATCAGAACTGATGGGCTGAATACATTCTCCACCTCAAATACAAAATATGCGAGGCCATTTGGGTAAAATTCTACGGTCTGGGTAAGCAGGAAGGTGGTATGCTGTGCGGTTACAGCCAGATAAGAATTGTTCTATCTAAGAATATTACCATGTCTCAGAAGAAACTTGGCAGTTTCAACACGACCTCTGTGGCTGGCAACAAACAGTGCCACAAAAGCTCGGTGTGCTACCCATTCCTTTTTCTGCTCTGGTCCCAGTAACTCTGCATGCGGCGTGGTGCCTGCAAAGTCCTCCGTAACTCCCAGACGGGCTAGCTGCAACAAACACAAAGCTTTTAGTCTCGTTCGAAAGAGTAGTCTGATCCTTTTTAGGTATCAACAAAGTCTCATATCCGTACTTAGGGGGTGCTTGCACACTGCATAAATCACTCCAAGATCAGCTAAATAATACCTGCTTGTTTCTTATTCTTCTGCCCCATCTTGATTCTCTACTATCAAATGATGTTTATTCATAGCCATCCCTTGGCGGGAACATTAATTCAGGTTTTCCTTTCGCATGTAGTTATTAAGCACCACAAAATCTTACAGAAACTGTTTCTCTTTGTAATCCCTGTCCTTCTCTTAAATTTGTTGGAAACCGACCCAAGTTTCTGGGGAAAGAAGACAAAGACAGACAGGACTGGCCACGTAAGCCCAGGTTCCTTAGGAGCTAGGTGAGACTTTGGGCCTTAATTCCAGCAGACAACTCACAAACCTAAGTTGCCTCACGAGACAGCCCTGTATCACGTTCTTTTCCAGAAGGAGCTTTTTTTTTTTTGTAATAAAGCCAAACACATCGGTTCTAAAGTGTTGCTAAGAGACCTCTTAGGAACAATTTTCAGGTGCCTCATGCTGCTGTTCTTCCTGAGAAACCATTTCCATGTTGGGCCACATCTTCCACAGTGCACCATGGTTTTCTCATCTAGTAAGTGGAAGCACGTCATTACAACAGCTGTACGGTTATTTCTTGAAAATAAATTTTTTTTTCATTTGAAAAAATCAACAGTGTCAACAAGCTTTCTGTGGGGCTCTTATGCCAACACACCTTTCATTTCAAAGGAGACCATTTGCCTTTGTGGCACATCCTTCTGTTTCCTGCTCTACACTGAGTAGGAAGAAAACATGGCGAAAAAACCAAAACCAAAAACCCCAAACCCCGATTTGCCTAATACCAAAACGCAAGCCATTTGTGGCATGAGGCAGAACAGCTGCTTGCCAGTGAACTGCAACACTACACAACAGTTAACGAAAGGAAGTGAGGAACCCTGCGGTATCCATTTGCAGCGGCTGGGGAAACGCAGAGGAACAGAATGCGATTAGCCAGGTTGGAATTTGGCCAGGGAAGCGGAGATAATGGTTCTTTATGAAAGGTGCCAAAGGATATTTCATGACCACATCTGTTCGGGCCTGAAGGTTTACAGTACAAATCAGTACCTTGTGTTTCTGCTGAGACAACATTTCAGTCCTACATCAAGAAAGCAGCATGCCCTCTATCAAAGCACCACAGCAACTATTTGTTCTATAAAAATCAAAGCTTTCTTACTAATCAGACTCGACAGGATCGCAAACTCAAGATGGCCCGTAAGCTAGCACCAGATAAAGCAGATGAGACAGGGAATGTCTTCCGATTCTTGATTTTGGTACTGCCACGTACCAAGTCCCATTCTTACTCTGGAGTCAGCATGGCTAGAGGAGGATGGACTATGAAACAGAGAGTTTCTGCCTCTGATTCTCATAACAACAGACAACTCAGCCTCACTGGAATACCCAAGAACAGATAATCTCAATCTTCTAATGATGTTTTAAGATAACTAATACATAGAAGAAATAAGGTATTATTTACATACTATCTATATGAAAAACCCTGGGATTAAGTATCTTTTGTTGATAACACATCAGAAGGGTAAAACGGCAGGCAGCTGAATACAAAAAGCAAACTTTTTTGGACATCAGGATAAGCAGGGACAAGAAAAGTAACCTGAAAGTATACTCACATCAGTGCTACAAACGGTTACAAAACAGTGACAGGAACTTGCACTCCAAGCGTATGTGCTTTTTTGCTAGTAACAGCAAAAAGAAGTCTTAGATTTCTAAACTGAAGACTGCGTTAGGGATTGACTTCCCCACTGTTTGCTCTGTGAAGTCTTGCTTTATAAGAGCAATAGGCTTTTAGCTTTTCTGCATACGGTACCCCACCCGTTCACAGAAGTAATGGAATCAACCTTCATAGTCTCTCCTTTTGCAGCAGCTGCCACCAGATGCCCCCAGCCATCTTGTCGCCAGATGCGCATTGTAATCGTTCCACCAGGGACAATATCATTGTCCTTAAATGTAGACTCATCTGGCAGATCTACTGTAGGGAGTTATAAAAAGAAAGGAAAAGCAAGTCAACATATCCTCAGAGAAGACAACGACCAGCTTAAAAAAAAGGTTAGATGGTGGCTGAATTTTTTTAGCCATGCTGGTGTTCTCCAATTCTACTGTCATAATACATCAAGGACTCCTTGGGTTCCGTTGTGCTAAAGCTGTGAAAACAGATACACTCCCAGCCTAGAAAAGGCTGCGATACAGTGCTCTTGGGATAATATGGTTGTAACCCACAGAAAGCTACAGTTAACATGTTAAGTACCAAAACTGTAGGAGAAAAATACTTGCGTATCCACGCGCACATGGTGTCTTTATTCGAAAAAGCAAACACCAAGTTTGTTTGATCTGAGAAAGCGAATAGCAGGAAGAATTGTTTTAAATAGCAGGTTGAAACAAGTTTTACTGGCCATCTCTGCTTGCTACCTCCAAAGCCAAGTACTCCAACACCACACGTTCTCATGGGAAAAACACCACTGCTCCACGCAATTCTAACTGTGGAGAGGTCAGCCAGAGCCGTGCTAGAGCTGTTCTAGGCCGAGGTGAATCAGCCAGGTACTGGCATTGGCTGTTGACAGGGCTAAGCAGGAATTTAGAGGTCAGCATTTGCAATCTCTAACCTAAAGAGACCCTGTTGAGTAGGCCATTCTCTTTAAGGAGTAGGAAGCAAAGTTAGGCGTTAAGTCCAGAGCTGAAATCCAAGTGCAGTACAGTCCAAAGAGGAAAGGGGAACCCTGACCTTCATCCAGAACGTAAACGTAGCCAATAACTAGCAGGTAAAGAGATAGTACGAATAACCTCCAACAACCCCGGAGGTTACAGGTTCTCACCTTCATCCAGGTACTGAAGCCGCTGGAAATGAAGGGGGATCCCAGTCAACAATTCTAAATGGGACTTAAGCTTCTTCAGAGTCAGGTCATTTTGGCATCGAGGCAGTGAGAAGATCTCATTAGTTTCAGCTAGACGGAGCTGGACACTAAAGGTCCGCAGGGGCCGGGAAGGCATGGAGATGAAGTGGTTCCTGACCAGGAAAAGTTCGTGAGACTTGTCTCTTAGAAAAAGCTTGGCATCGTTATAAGGACAGGGGTCTAGATCTGATAGCAGTAGTAATTCCTCCCTCCCCTAGAGATTCCCCTTGTATCATCAAAGCCCTCCACGTATAGATCCTCCTGTGTATCGTAAGCACATTACAGTATCCAAGCTGCATAAACTGACATCACAGAAGTACAGTCTGCACATGTGATGTAATAGTCTATCTGAACTTACCAGAGACCACCACAGAAAGTAACACACCAGAGTGATTACAGAAGGATTTTTGTTCCTGCCCATCTTTTGATTTTCACTAGGATGACAGAAACTTACTTGGAAGGCAAGCAGCAGAGAAACAAAGTAGTAACTCGGAAATAGCCAACATTGCCCATATTTTATGTTCCTGTTTTCTTTGTTAACGTCTAGATCTCAATCTACATGTTTAGTCTAACATAATAAAAAGAGCATATGGCTGTTTAATTTGTGTTTCCAGTTTACTACACAGGGGTCTTGTGCCCTAACTCAAAGCGTGTGGGTAGGCTTTACCGGGGGGTGCAGGGGACTGTTTATTCTCCTCACTTTTGCATCAGCTGAAATCCAGCAAAGAGAGAGGGGAGGTCAGATATTCTTTTGCAGCAGTTGGCAGAAGCTCTAGAGCACAGGATGGGGCAGCCAGTGAGTGCCTGAAACAGCCAAAAGGGTGATTGCAGCAGCAGAAGATACAGAAGACTCCTGAGGTTAGAAGCAAAACCAACCAGCCAAGTGTTGATTATTTATCCCCCCCCGCCCCCAACTCCCCAAGGCCTAACAACTACGGACTTCATTAGTGTAGGATGTCTGAGAGCAACACCACACTGAAAAAACAGCCCAGACCGTCCTTCCAGGCTGCAGTTTGGAGAGGGAAGGATTTAAGATTTGAATGCCAGTCTCACCCAGCACACACAAGTTCTCTTCATTTAAAATACATCTTGTCAGTTTCAGTTCTGACAGGACAATTTTAGTTTCGAAGCACTTTTGGCATGCTCACTTCAAGGAAAAAGTGCAGGAAGAGCTACTTCAAATCTCTGGACATCTAATGGATTTTTTTTACTACACAGTATGATGAATTCCGCACTCAACCCTGGTTTGACAGATGACAGTGCTTATGCTAGGCAGATGTTTCATTATCCGAAAGAACACATTCACATCCCACTTACAACAAAAGTCAGTTACCACAAGTTGGTTTATAAAACAGTCACAGGATTTATTGAGATAAATACAAATAGAAAGTCACATAGATTCTCTATTCTGACAAATGAATGACACTTCCAGAGTGTCCCCACTTAACTGGGTTCTAAACAAGACTGTGTACAGACAGAACCGCCACTAGGGCGGCATCCTGACAGATGCCAGGTGTACGTCATACATGAGATACCAGCGCGTCTGAATTCTAAGCAACATGACTAACATGCTTTGGATTACAAGTGCTTGATAATTTCCTACAGCATCCAAGCAATATTGCACCCACTAACGTTATTTTCATGTTCCTTAGCTAGAAGTGTTTAAAAGTGATATACTTACTGCTGCTGTGAAAGTGGATCGACCACCTAACTTTGCTCCATCTGGCTTTTAAAATACATATTTTTGCATAATTTAAACAACCCAGAGAATTGTACGTGAACACACCGCTTTACTCATCATTGCATACATTTGTCTAGTACAAGACGTAAAGTGCGGTCTTTAGTCATGCTGAAATCACTTCTGGTTTAAAACTAAAAGACAAACCTTCTAGAGGGTACATTTGTTTAATAGACCTGCACATTGTCTACAAAAAAAACAAACCACCCCAGAACTATGACGTCCCCCATTAGTGCATGCAACTGCGGAGTTTTAACAAAAAGTCTTTAAACGCTCTACTGAAATCACGTCATTTAAAACAGACATGATTTCTGGAGCCAGAGAGGTACCAAAATATCGTTAAAAACAAAACTTTGTTTAGCCTTTTAGTGAACTTTTATAGCTGCTGGCTTACTGTTTACGCATATCCTAATTAAAAACTCCTAGTGAACACCAACCAAACATGCTAAAACATATGGAAGCTTGTGTTTTCCAGGGGGTTATTGCAAGTAAAGGTAACGATTCAAGATTATCTGACAAACAGAAACCTGGGTGGGGTTAATGCTCAAAGTATTTAATTTATATACAGTACATTTCAAACATACTTACATATACACACACTTAAAAAAATTTGTTCGGTGCTGCGGAATTTAATGAACTGATAATAAAAAACAGAAGTAAAACCTTGTCAGAAAGGCCTTAGAAAATGTGAACTGTTAGAAAATACCAGTATAATGCCAGCATTAGAAAAAGATATTAGAACTAGAAAAAATTAACTTGAGAGGTCTTTTTGTTAAGAAATTGCAATCATAAAAAGTCTGTACTGAGGAAGCATTTTTTTAAATTATAAAAAAATTGTAAAAAATTAAACATAGAATGTTGCAGAGTTTACAGAGTTTATACTGTTTGCTGTGATAGCAGTGATAGCAGTGGTATATTCCTGCCTGCAACTTCCAAAAAGCATTTTGTGCTCTCACAAGAAAATAATTTGTTACAAATACTGTACATATTATAATACAAGACTAGTTAAACAAACTTGTACAAAACTGAGCCCTCCAAAAATACAGAACCCAGCTGAGGAACCTACTTGCTGTATTGCAGACGAGCCAGATTTAAAACAAAACAAAAAAGAAAAAAGTAGTATCTGTAAAAGCCTTCACCCACGTGAACGACTTACTAGTATAATAATGAAATAAGGGGAAATATTTACACAGGTCTATTTACGATAGAGTATTGTGTTCACAGAGAGAAAGTAACTGTTATTACATGAAACCATTTCTTTAGTATTTAAGCATTAGTTTTTCAACAGGACAAAGTTCCAATCCACAATCTAAAGAAGTAAGACTATTTATTTTCCAGGCCCCACATTATCTGCAGATTTGGGACACAACAGAAGACAGGATCCACCAAAAAATACTGGCTTTGTAATTTTTCAAACCAGTCAGAAGCGCTGCAATTTCATTAACAGAACTGCATTCTATCTGTATATTCTTTCTTTCCTCCGAAACACCTGTTTAAGCACACAGAAGACGTCCTACTTAAGCTTAAGGATCTCGGTAACCTTCATTGGTTGTTTGCCCCAAACCTTACCATACAATCAACAGAAGTTGTAGAGCAAACCGCGTCACCACCTTTCCCCTGAACATTTGTTATTTGGGCTTTTTCAGAATTTAGAGGTCCTTCGTTTCTTCGGAACAAAGTAGCGGGCTGTTCGGGATTTGAACGTTGGACCAGTTAAAAGGTGTTTTTTAAGTGACGTGTGTATGTAAAACGAACAAACAAAAACTTGTAAAATTCTGCAATACCCTTCTACAGATACAGCACGTGTTGCAGGAACCGAATCCCTTACACGAGGTGAACTTTGCTAGGGCAGAATGAGTAATTTTCAGTTTGGGAAATTTACAGTCTACCTACCACTACCAGAGCCAGCAGTAATGAAAACAGACATGTTAACACCTGTAAGGGTATAGCTCAGAAATAAAAGATTAATAGAAAAGTCACAATAGACAAAGAATCTTGAGCTCTCTGTGCTTTGAAAAATATCACATTATATTAAATAAAAATGAACCGTGCCTTGATTCTAGCAGACTACTTTATAAAATGAAATGATTTTTGAGCTTTTTTCCACCAATACAGAATTAAGTTCTTCATAATTTTTGTTAAAATTCAAAATTATTCACATATATACACTTTTTTCAGTTAAAATGCAATACTTGAAACAATACAAAAACTACAAGAAAAGTGAGGAAAGAATACCTTCATGTAAGTTTGCTATAATCAGGTTTTAAGATCTAGAAACCATTTTAAGCTATAGCAGACTGCTCTACTACTGGAAATGTTTTGTTGAAAAATGTAATATGAGTTCCAAGTACACTGAAATACTGCGTATGGTGTAAGACTTTACATACAATACTTCACTGCAGGCGAGATCAGAGTTATCACCCACATTTACAAAGAAAAAACCAAAAGGAATTACTCATGCACATCAGAAGAGAAACACACAGCTGTGGATGAAAGGTGGTCACGAAATGAACATTTCTCAATAGACCCTTTCCAGCTCGAGTAGGTAACAAAAACCTTCTTATTTGTCCACATTATTCATGCTAACCGCAAACATAAGGTGAAAAACCATTTTGATGTTCAGTGCTTACTGCAGGAGAACACATTAGTTTTGTTTTTCAACGGTAGTACTGTCCATGTTACCCTGTTTTAGTTTTATGGTGGCAAAGAAGGACACATCTTGATCTCGGTCAGACTGTAGGGCTAGAATGGTCTCTTCTGCAGCTTCTAGATGAGGATTGCCAACACTTTTAAAATAAGCTAGAATACGGGGAGAAAAAGACAATTTTAATCAAAGCCAAAAGAATAAACCCTAGGGCGTAAGTACTGCAGAAATACAGGGGAAGCCAAAAACATCTGGGATAGCTCATCCAATTTATAGGCTCCTTAGAAAAACTACAGCAAGCTAAGGAAGCTGACAGAGAAAGAGAAATATGGTGCTTTCTACTCATCTTACCAGGTACTTAAGTATTTCTAAGATAAACTCTTTTTGCTGAGCCCTAAATAGAAACGTATCAACAAGTAAAAGCAAGCTCAGGAAGCTGCCACTGTACAGTGTTTTACAAAACGTTCTCCATACTTTATTCTGAAAAAAGATAGGAGAGGACATTTCTGTGCATCTTCCTTTGAATAATCAGAGATCGGCTGATTTTTTTGTTTTTAAGGGATTGTAATACAGGAAATTGTAGCAGCACACAAAATTACATTCTTTCCTAGTAAAACTGTTAGCTTAAGACTAAAGTGACAAAGCAAACCATTTCAGAAGAAGGTATAACACTTCATCTGAAGGACCCCAAAAGACAACTACTTCATTAACATGAAGGTTTGAAATATATCAAAATAATCTAATGTGATGCTTAAGGAAAATGTATTTGCCATACACATCGTGGATACCAAAAATAATAACCACCTGCAGCAACATCCAGCAATTGCAGTAGTTCTTGCTATAAAACAAGGACGGAACTGCCCTCTAGCGGATGAAATAATACGTTTGTCAGGTGATCGATGCCAGTTTCAGGCCCTTTAGGGATGATGATCAAATATTCTAAGACAGAAAAGCCCCTGCAGTATACATTCCTAAATCTGCATCTAAATGCAGCATCCCAGATTACAGTGTATGATCCTGTTTTCAGTATAAACAGAACCAAACAGCCTTTTACCAGTTGAACCAATTTATAAAGAACTGCACTGGCAGAGGAAAGAGCATTTGTGAGACATTAGTTCTTTCAAAGGAAATTAATGACCACACCTTTCTCCAATAACGTCTGCCTCAGAGCCTTGGCAAGCAGAACCCTTACATTTGGCACAGGATCTGAAGCAAGACTTAAAAGACTGGGGAGTAAGTGTTCAACAAATTGGTCGACAGGCATACATTCTTCTTCTACTACAGCCTACAGGATAAACACAGAACATGAGAAAGCAAGATTTATGTGAAAAATACACTAATTTGCCATTCCTTTCCATCTTGTCCTTAATTTGGCCTGCCTATTAATAGAAGTCACTGTTTAACTCTGAACAAATACACCCTATGTTGGTGAAATAAGTACGGCCTTTGAAATACTGTTATGAGAACATGTCCTACCATTCTAAAGTTCATCTGAAGATGACCCAACAAGAGCAGATAACTAACTCTCAACTATATTTTAGGAAATACTGTCTCTTGCCCAACATCATCCTTTTGCCTTTCAACATTCAACCTTTGCTCCTCATTGCTGGTGAAGTAAGCATTTTTGGTTTGGAGGGGTGTGGGTAAGTGGAAATAAAGGAGGAAATAGTTCCTGGCATCTAGCACCCACTGGTACTTTGAAGAGCTCTTGTGAACCTTTATCCTAGCATGTCCAAGTACTACAAAATACGACTTAATTCATTTCAGTTTTGCCCACACTGCTGAAAAGCCCCAAACTGGCTGCAAATTAAATGTACACATAGAAACACAGAGAGAACATTCCAACCTGACAAATGAAGGCAAAAGCTTGTCTTCCAACCCACTTGGAGCAGTGACGAAACCGCACTACAAGTTCATTAATGAAATTTAATCCCAGTGCATTTGCATTGTTTGCGTAGAACTTCTGTAGTATTGCTACAACCTGTGAAGTAAAGGAAGGGGGAAGGGGAAAAAAAGGAAGAGATGAGACTTAACTTGTAGCCCTTAGAAAGTTAAAAAAAGCATCATTTCATTTGAATCCTACAAAGGGACACCAAAAACTGTATTCAGTGTAATCAGGTGTGCTTGCAGAATTGAGTAAGTTACTGTGCTTATTCTGGAGAAGAGAAAGCATAAGCTTTAAAAGAGCTGTTTGTTCAGGTGAAACAAAAAACACTAAAAGAAATTAAAACCACCATTAAAGTAATGCCCCTTTCCACGGTGCCGTGAAGAAAAAGAAGAAATTGGAGGAATCTTTCTACTCATTCAGGACATCTATGGGATGATGGCATTATCATGAAGTTCATAAATTAAATCAACTTTGAGGAGAGATCAGTAACTTTTTTTCCCCCCTCCCAGAACTGGGGGAAGGTCTCCCAAATCTTCTATATCCTGGTTTTCATCCAGTTGAAAATATTTGTCATTCACATACAACCAATACAGAAAGATTTTAATATCTGTGGAAGTCTGACAACTCAAAATACTTTATAAAGTTTTCATTTAGCTTTTTTCCATATTGTTTACCATGTTTATCAAAACATGTCTGTGTTCACCCTACTGGTCTGAAAGAAAGCAAAGCGATTTCAGGTATCCCTCTCGAGGATCATTTTCCTCCTCTCCTGCCAGGAAGTGAACTAAATCCCCTACCAGTTTGAAGGAGATCCACCGAACTTCTGAAACTTTATCGGAGCAGAGAGTTAGTGCAATATGTCTTAAGTAGTCATAGACATCATTGGGATTGTAGAGTTCCAGTATCAGGATCAGCTGCCTGAAACACAAAGAAAGTGATTAACTCTAGCAGTGCAACACTAACCTGCTCCGATTACACCATCTGTTAAACACAGGGAAGGATCATTTGGAGACTCGAAAATACCATGGTTATTACAAAGCACTTGAACAGTTTGTTCTTCTCGTTACTTTATAAAGGTGCACGTGAGTATTAAAGAGGTACATACTTTAATCCATCAAGGAGTCCAAGAGAAACTTTTATCCAAACTAGATGTACCAATGAATCAAAATTATCCCGAACAATAACAAAAGCTACAAACCGAAGTACAATGAGAAGTTTCTTTGCAACTTCAGACCAATATCCTGCACATTCTTGCAAAGTAAAAACGAAAAGATTTACTTCAGTGTAGAAAACTGCATTTCAGAAAATTATTTATATCTCAGAACTGCACAGAACTCATTCTAGCCACACTGCCAGCATGTTACCAGCAGCCATGCACAAACCAACCACAAAGTGACAGCTCTCCACTAGATGTCAGGGAACTGCTGTACAACTTTCTTGCACCAGAGTGAGATTTAGTTTGTCGTGCCAAACTACAAAGGGAGAATAAATTCTCAATAGCCCAATCAAAGCAATGAGATAAACATGAAGGTCAGATTTTTAGCTGCAAACTACGCTTGTGAACATTCTTTGGGTGCTTCAAATATCAACAGGACTTGTAGAAAAAGAATCATGGGATGTTACTCTATCTCCATTACACACCCAGTCCTATGGAAATACCAAATTAATAAACTAATTTTTTGAGAACTGGTTTTTCTTTCATACACATTAGAAAAATTACTTCGTACATACATTTCACTGATTTTTACAAGGTAGTCTAGAACTGAGTAAAATCTGAAACCTCACTGAATAGTATCTATCAGATTGTCACATTTCATAAGCTGCAAGCGAATCAGATCTCCATTTTTGTATAATCACAGACATTGAAGTCTCAGTCATGCTTGATTACGACACAACTTGCCAACCTCAAAACCCCAAAAACCCCAAACCCAACAGCCAGCAGCTTTTAAGTTCAGCTCCTTAATAGAGAATGGTCGTCATCTTTTAGCTTCTCATTAGTGTTCACTAACTTCTGAATGTAATTATCTATTTCCAAATTAGTAATGTAGATTAAAAATCATAAGTTAACAGAAGTACATACTCTGCCAGCTCATAACGAAACCTCCAGTTCCTGCTGTTATCAGTCACCACAAATTCTTGAAGTTGGTAAAGATACTCTCGCCTTTTGTCTGCATGAAGTAACTAAAGGAAAAACATTACTAGTATAAAACTGATAAAATTCAATACTTGCAGTTCTCTGGTGTATTACTCTATTCACACCTATGTGCATTTTCCTACTTGAAAGCAAGTGATCATTCACAAGATGCTTACTAAAAATTGCGCACAGCCAGCTGAGTGCCTGGACACACAAGACTGACATCCAAAAAAGTACATTAAGCTATCACTTCTGCAAGGATGCCCGTCAAAGCACCATCTCTGGGCATAAGTCTGAGCAATCAAAAACTAAGGATTTGTGTTTATTATGTAGCAGCCCACCGGGATCTGTTCTCTTCTCTCCCAGCCCCAAACACAAACTGTTAATGGTCCAACTTTCTAGCTGGACTGCACAAAGTACTAATTCCTTTACAACAGCTAGGAGCATTTACAACGGTTTTCAGTTTTGATATTTTGTTGGGATATGAGACAGAAGAAGAGTGAGTGACCTTAAAAAAAAGCAGTAGACACACACAAAATGGCAGTATTGCACAAAACTAAACATGTAATTAGATACTGATACCCGCACATCTCATTAAAAAACTCTCTTAATATAACGGAGTCAGAAAAAATTTTATCTTGAGAAATTAAATCACACTTTCCTACCTTTAGAAAGTCATACAGATGTTTAAGGACACCAATACGCACTTCATCCAGATCTTTCAAGAATCCATTGAAAATTGGCACCAGATCAGCAGCTGTTAGCTGATCCCCCAGAATAACTGCTAGTTCATGTATGGAGAAAGCTAGTGTCCGACGTACCTTCCACTGCAAACAGTTTAAGAAGTGAACTAGATTAGGCACCACAACTACAATAAAGAAGCTTTTGAACTACACTTATGTGAGAATTGAGAGAGCAGAACACGGCTAGTTACACAGCAGCAGAAAACAATCATATTTATGAAGTCTTATTTAAATCTTGAATTTTATATTTTTAGAGCACATTGAATCCCTTATAAGAAAGTATATGATCTTATAACTTCAGTGCAACAAACTGAACAGAAAAGCTACTCAAAATTCTGATTTATCATTAAAAAACTTTTTTTTTTTCCCTTTACCTGTACATCTGAGGCCAGTGTCTCGTATGTATCTTTCAGGCAGTGCCAGTTCTGCCTGCCCAGTGTTAAGGCCACCCCAGGAAGACTATATGCACAGTGTTTGGCTATTTCAGTATCAACAGTCTGGGCTCGAGCCGGGTCGGTCATTGACAAGTACTGGTCTAATAAAGGTTGAGGTATGATATCCTATAGATGGAGACAGTACATCAGCAACACACGCTTTAATTTAAAATCAGAAAGAAAATACACCTGTTGTGCTACAGTATTCTCTTGCTACCAACCAGCTGGCAGCAAAACACAAACAGTTGCAAGACGCCCGTTTTGTGGGCTAGCTTTACAAAGCATAAATGACCCCTACAGTTATTTGTCCTCTCATTAGGATAGAGCAGTCAGCAATGAACAGTAATTATTACTTTATCAACATGTTGCATCAAACCAAACTGAAAATTCCTTCTTTGCTGCAGACAAACAGTAAATCCAATGACAAAACAGTACAGTCAGGGCCTACCTTGGTTGCACAGATCGCCTCTAAGGTGCCAAAAAGGCAACAGAATTTTTCTAGCTTTCTGATTTAAAATAGGGTTCTCCTCAAATGCCCAGAGCATTTCTTCACATTCTGCAACTGATCAATTGCAAAAGCTATCACTGTATTAAGGATAAGATGAACTGTATCCAGTACTCCAGTAAAGCAGTTAGATGCTATTTTAAATCACCTGTAATTTTGACTTGTCATCTTCAAATGGTGGATTATTTTCTTGCTCTTTCTTTAAAAACACACTGGTTCCTCTGTGTTGTTCCTCCGAGTCCTGTAAAAGGACATACTAGCTAGTGAAATGAATTAGGCTTACTGCAGTTTGGGATATTTCAAAGCATCACACTACAGAACAACGCAATTCAGATACAGAATAGCCTTTTACAAAGCCTTGTACAGGCAAAGCCTTATTCAGTGTGTTTATACAAGTACAAAAAGACAGAGTTGTACACTAAGGTAAACACTATTAAGACAGTAGCAGCAAGAAGGGGAACAGTAGTTAGATTTACTTCTAAAAAAAGCAATCTAATTTAACACAATAAACCCAACATTCATACAGATTTTGGATGGTTACTTTTACTATAATCTTAAATAGTCTTTATTCTTGGCATGAATTTAAATTACATTAAACAAGACAACTTAGCAGTTGCTCCAAGTCAGTCAATAACATGACAAAAGCTTACTTATTTTAGAACATACTGCTGGAAATTCCCAAGCCTATCAAATTATGAAGCATACACCTCTCCCCAAGTATCAACAAAAAACTTCAAAAGAATTAAAAGGTTTGAAAGACCAAAAACATACAAAGCTCAAAAGTTCACATAGTATTTTACATTTTTGTTCATACACGTTTTACAAGCAATTTTTGTTCATAGACAAGGAGAGTTTTTCTTTCTATTTCACAATTAGCTCCAGCAACATTAAATACTGTGCAAACAATTCTTTTTACTCCTATCTGTACATTATAATCAAGAAATAGGAACCAGGAACTGTGTATGTGTCACCACCTGATTCAGCCTCCTGTCTGGAGATAAAAGACTAATTTTAGATTCATTACAGGAAGAGGTGAAACTGTACTTGGTACATTTCATCTGAAAAAAACCTACAAGACTACTGCAAAACTTTAACTCTTAGGTAATCTGTGTGCAAACAGAAATAATAGCCCTCAATAGCTTTTCTTTTTCTTTTTTAATTAAGTAGTATACGATAGTTATGGTGTAGTAATGTTCAAAGGCTTTAGATCAGAAGTGGGTCAATTACGCCAGGGACCACACGAACACACACAGTACTTCAGCTGGTAAGAATTCATTTCAGACATGGAGCGCAATGCATACTTACTATGCTTTTCAGTACACTGGTTGTAGACTGGTCACTGATGTTATCATCCTGGGAGGCAGGGGATGAAAGATCATCTTCCTCCACCTGGTCACAGGTAGCATCTGAAACAGCTGGTTCATCTGAAATAGTTCTGTTCTGAATTTTGCCACTGCTTTCTTTCATTTTTTTGGTCTCATAGTCACCAACAGAATCAAACTGAGCAGCTCTGAGAGCAGCAGACAACACTTGGACCTGAGCTGTATAAAGCAAAAGAAGACTATTTAGTCTCCCTTCTGCACTTAAAAGCATTAAACTTGTAATTAGTTAATCCGAAAAGATAAAAAGAAGCCCAGTCTGAGCTGCACAGAAATGGTATGTTAGCAAAACATTTGCTCTTTGAAAGGAAAGGCCCATTACTCTTCCACAAAACCATCACAAATTAAGAGTAATGATTTGGATGTATTAACATTTTCAGCAGAAGCATTCTACCAATTTCTAATACTGAAAGATATTTCTAATAATCCCCTGTAATGAGGTATCACAGCATACTGGCTCACTTCCCCTTCTTCATACTGTCAAACATTTTAATACAAATTCTTTTGTTATATTAATTGATTCAACTGCTTGGAAAAGGCATCAATGTGCATTTAAAACATTTCTGAGAAAAACTTTCTGGAGCAGGGAATTAGTCAAACCACCTCTGACCGTTTTGCAGAAGCAGATAGAAAACAAAAGGTCGGGTTTACCACTGCATCACCAATAAAGTTAGGACAAACTGTATTTGCACATTTCACTACATTGCTGCTAGGAACGTGAAGTTACTAGGAGTTCAGAATGCAGAAACTAGATAGCTACATCTGCACAAGCCTACAGCAAGTACAGTCTTAAGATGAAACATTAGAGCGTACTTTAAAGGTGAAGAATACTAGAATACTTTGGAAATAAGGGGAACAGGCAACTTAAAGGCAGAAGAATGGATTACAGGCATATTTATGAGCAGTTTGTTTTCCTCCTGCTCTAACATCCACATCTCCTTATTCTGAGAAAGGAAGCAAGACTGTTCGGCTAACGTCATAATAAAGAGGGGGGTGGGGGTGGGTGGGGTGGAAATCTTCTTCATTTTCTCCTATGCCTCTCCACACCCCTCATTTCTCACTGTATAGCTGTCAAGCTAACATCTCTCCATTTGCCTTAGTTCTACATAATTTCTTTTTCTCTCTTCCTTTTGCTTTTACTGTCTTCTCTTTCTGAAACTCATTCATGCTTTTTTCTCCTTCATTCATTCATTTCAATTTCCACTTTTTCCTTTACTGCTTTAAATTTTAATTTTTTCACCTCTTCCTCTTTTAAATCTTTCCCTTTCTTTCTGATCCTTTGCCTCTCACATGTGAAGAATTTTTTATTTTCCTGGTACCTTTCTGAATGGCCATGGGGAGCCACTTAAATATGCCACGCTGCCAGTCGGCTTGCTACTAACTACTACTACAGCAAGGAATCCAAATGATGCTGCAGTTCCTGTAGATATGACTTTGCATGCAGAGAAGGAATGAATAAACAGGCAGATGAAAACTGTTAATTCACTAGAGTACTCAAGAGATTTAGTAGAACAAGAAACTGTGTTGACTATGGATGACAGGCTTGTCAAGAGGGACTTGCCCCAGGAAACACATACACATCCCACTATCAGGCTATCATCTCTTCAATATGTTCATCAATGGGCTTGTATGGGGAGGCTAAGGAAAGATGACTTGAAATTAGGGCTATTCCCACTCAACCAAGTATTAGATGAATTCAGCTTATAACAGGTAAGCTCTGTCCCTAAAACCACAGTACTTAGTTACAATACTTAAAGACAGCTTTAACAAATTTCAGCAAGCTCTTTTCCCTTTTGTAGTTAGATCCAATTTACTTCTCATGTAAACAGGAGCTAGGAACACTTCCCCAGCTGTTCTAGACATAACTCAGGTCTTGTGAAAAAGGCTGTTGCATAACTTTCTACTATAATTTACTACTCAAGGAAGTCTCATCACCTTATGAATACCAAGCCAATTCAAATGCAGTGAAGGGTTTTTGTAAAGGCCAGGAGAAAACCTGCTCAGAGAAAACATGATTTCACTGTTACAGAGCCTCACCTTGAACATCTGGATCATCTATGTGTTCCTGTAAGCTTTCTAGAACTTTTTTTATTTCACTACTAGCAACACAGTTATTACATGGCACAGAGCAGCTATCTTTGTGCTTTTCAGTCTTGAACTGAAGCAGCTCCAGATCCTGACTTATATCAGGCAGAGGAGGGCGCCAGTATAGAAAAGTATTAAATACGTCCTCAGCAGACTGTAGCCTTGAGTTCGTTCCAGGAAAATTGCTGTCCTTAGTGACTTCTACGACACCAGCAGCAACTTTGTCACCCTGAGACAATCGAGACACATCTTCTCCAGGATTGGTACAATAATCTGAACTTTCTTCCCGTGTATCTTTATTTAGGTTCTCAACTGAGAGCTTTGTATTAACTTCAGCTGAAGTCTCCTCAGTCGATGATTCTGGTTTGATTTCCATTGGTTGTTCTGAACTGGTAACAGACACACACAGTTATCCAAATAAAACTTAAAGTACTCTGTAATAACACTTTTCAGTGAAATACTTAATAGAAGAGAGCATCAACTACAGAAGCTTATTTTCTCTGCAGAAAGACAGAATTTGTTACCACTATGCTTTACTTCACCAGTTTTCCCTTTACCCTCCTGTGAAGCCATCAAAGTGAATCTTTCAATAACGTGGCTACACTCAAATAGACACACGCATGACCTCACTCTTCATACCTTTTCTGGAACTATATTCTCAAGTTGAGATTTTTAGCCCTGAAGAGCAAGTAGAAGAATTCTCTTCTTTCTTCCCCTTTCCACTACACCACATCTTTCCCATGATTTTACCTGGATAATGTAGCATTTGTACTGGAGGACATTAAAGTTATATTGTTGCTCGGCTGACAGGAATTGGAATTCATGTCTTGCGTTGATGGTCGGATACTCAGTGTCCCATCTTCTCGAATGTAAAGACCAGCACTTGAAGGGTTTGCAAAGGTAGAAATAAACGGGCCAAGAGACTGAAAAGCAGCCTGACGAACCTGTGATAGTATCAAGACAACAGTCAGGATTCATGCAACTCCCACAGAGTTAATGCAGAAAAATAAAAATTTGGTTCAATTTTTTTAGTAAGAATCAATTGGTTCTTACTATAACAGCTTCATTTAATACCAAATATAATCAATTATCAAGTACCAAATAAGCGACACCTAAGCAAAGAGTGTTAGAATATTCAGCATATATCTACAATCATAGTAAGGAAATCTTTTAAAAAGTTATACATTTGAAGGACATCACTGTCTGCTTCAACTAATACCTTTAACACAAGCAACCTATTCTCAGAAGAGTGTTTACACTTGTAAAAAAACCCTGTTGATAGAATTTCTAAGTAGTAAGAGAGAGAGGAAAAATAAGATACTATCTTATTAGAGGAGATTAGATTTTAGTAGATTAGAGTCTAATCTCAGCAAATTCAGTTTAGAGAACTTTTACAGCACACTTCTGACTTGCCCATTATTCGTGTATGTTCTGCCTGGGAAGATGCATCAACTATAGAGTGAGTTACTTACCCATCTGCAAGTGTCACTAATAAGACTGATAAACAGTGGGGATAATTTGCTTCTGCGAACTTCTGGGGATGTGGTGTAAGACACTGCCATAAAGCATTCAGCACAAGCTTTTCTCATTCCCCAGACGCTATCAGAACAGAGTTCAAAGAACTTGGGAATCTGCCAAAAATACGCAAAACCAAGACTAATTAAAGACTAAACAAAGACCACAGCAACTTACTATCAAGGTATTTGTTTGGCAACTGGAGCCAATGATAACTCAAGAGAGAATAAAATAAGTGAAGAATACAAGAAACGGGGACAGGTTAAAAACATGTATTAATTGAAGAAACTGGAAAAAACTGTCTGTCTCCCACTTACTTCATTAGGATTTTATGTGTAACTATATGCACTAGGAAAGCATAGAAAGAATTATTAATGGCCTATTTTTCCTGAAATTGTAACTTGACTGATCATCCAGTTCAGGGAAAAAAGAAAGAGTTGGTAATTCTAAAGTGTGTGTATATATACATATATGCTGCCAATTACATTTTTAAAAGCGTTTTGCAAAATAAGAACTTTGTATTTCTATTCTTTCCCAGTTTTGCTATATAATTGCAACCAAAGCCTTAGCCAAATCAATTTAAAAAAAATGCATGCACAATGATTAATTTACAGAGAAGATAATAAAAGAACTCATTATTAAACATTTTGAACTGAGAAAATACAAGTCTTGTAAATTGATTTTGATTTTTACGTACCAGCAGTCTTTCTGTGGCTTCTTGCCCAACTGCATTACAAATGTCACCAAAATTAGCTGCACAAATCTAAGAAATAAAAAAAAGTAATGTATAACATTCTGGCTCTTTCAAGTGCATTAGTTTTTATTAACGACTTCACCATGCATTATTTATCCCATGTAACAACTGCACGTTTGACTATTCAAATTTCAGCCATGTAACTACATCCTGTAATACTAACTCATCCCTAAAAAGACTCATTAGAGCAAGCGTCCATAAGCCACATGCCTTTGAAATCAATAGTAATAAAGGTTTCTGCACGAAGAGCATACTCTACTTCAGTCATCACTAGAAGGGACAATAAGCCTACTTGAAAGTTTAAATTACTTTGAACAGCAGCTGTCAAAACCAAAGCAGACTAAAATATGATACGAGGGTCAGGACTTAGGCGTACTTACAGAACTATCTTTGCTATGGCTGAGACTGGCTTCAGTACCTTGCTGAAGCAAAGTTTAATCAAGGTCTCAAGTTAGTGCCATTTACAGTACATTACAAATGCTAAAATTAAGGCAAAAGGGACATTCCCCCATGCTGGAAAAAGATGTTATCAAAATCTGAAATCAATTAAGACAGGACTGTGTTAACATATGATTTATTCATTCTATATGCTTATTTAGAAGGCTATAACACAGCCCAAATTCCAACAAGGGCAGCTTATGTTAAGGACCAACCTGAAGCTCTGCATGACCCTTATGTCTACTCAAATATTTTAAGACTTCTTATGCTACAAGTTTCCTTTTGTACTCAACCATGAATTAAAGTAAGTCTTACACTTTTGTGATTTCTCCTTTCAAGAATACCAGATTTTTTTTTTTTTTTTTTTAAGGAGGAGATTTTTTTTTTTTTTTTTTAAGGAAGGATGTCTCAAATATCTGTTACTTTTGAATTTCTGGCTTTGAAATAAGATGGTGGAGATGAGGTAACTTTTGGTTTGCAACTATAGGTTTGTATTCTATAACCAAGCACGGTGGCTTAAAAAAAAAAAAGGTTGTGCAAAACTATTAAATGTGCAAGATCAGTTTAACTGCTACACCAAAGCTATTCAGCAAGGACTGTTATCTATTTCTTTACTGAACTACAGAAACTATAACCATGTCAATAAATTAAAACTGCTCTTCCAGACTCTTTCAAAGTTCATCAGCTAAAGTTATGACTACATTATTCAGGAAGGCATTTGAACAGCAACATACAAATTCATTTTTAAGTGGTTTAGGGTTGAAAACACACCAACCTTTCGGACTTGAAACAACTTCCCATCACTGCACAGTTCACAGAAACGAGGAAGCAGCATGTGCTCAACTGTTGTTCTGCTCAACATAGAAGCCATTTTACAGATTATCTAAAAAATCAAGAAGAGGGTATGTGTAAGGAAAAGAAAATTAAAAGCTTGTAAGCATGGCCAAATATTCCTCCTAAAAGTTACTTCCAAGAGCAAGAGAGCAACTACCAAATAGATTTAACTGCTATACATTATTCGTATTTTCATACACCTGTTTTATGTGAAGCACAAATACAGTTTTTATTTAAAATCATTCTACGCCACTGTGCCTGAACACAACATTTCTGCACATAATTCATTGTCTTTTTTATCCGGTTAAATAGACCTTTATTAATAAATGCATTTTCAAGGTGTTTTACAATGTGGCATACCCTGATAATTCGTATGGAGAAGACAAAAGTTCCATTGCACTAGCCAGCACACAAAATCACACTCTTTAAGCATATTAGAAATATCTCAAGCTTAAGCATGCAAGTAAGCCCCTTGGCTTTAACAGGACTGTTCAGATACTTAAAAACAAGCACAGCCCCAGCTCTTTATAGGCTCAGACAACATGGTAAAATGAAAGTCTGCCATACGACAGGAGAGAAAAGGGAGAGTAAGACAAACTAGTTACGTATGTGAGCTAACACACACTTTACAGGAATCATCCTCAGAAATTTTAGGAGTTAACATCAAGCATAATTAAAGAAAGTTAGTAACATGCACATTAATTTAGCCTCCTCTGAGGAACTGTCAATTTCAACTACCATTACCAACCATGCTTCTGCTGTGAAAATCCCATGCTTTGGATTGTATGTTTTTCAGCTCCCACTTTGTGGGATAACTTGCTGTAATTCTTCTATTTGCAACAGTAAAAAGGAAGGGGCTCCCATGCACCTTTCTACTCAGCTGTTCTGCCTGCAGCACCAGGAGTTTAATGCTTAGACAAGTGTTGTCAGATTAACAGTACTCATCTTTCTACTTTTATTTTTCCAAAATTATTGAAGCTTTCTACCTCCACAAAAATAAGCTTTATTCCTAGAAACGTTTGCCTTTGTAATAGAATGCTAAATAAGAACTAAGACACTGTTCAAGGACTTTCCTACAAATTTTCAAACTCCTAAAAGGCATCTGGTGCTCAGATGTCACCCTGGAAAACTGCCTAAGCAATACCCAACTCCCAAACAAGGAAGAGGAAAATCTAACTGGTAAAACCATTTTACAGGTCAAGTATCAGATATCCATGCTGAAATGTAATTACACACCAGCACTTTTCTGTGGAGTCAACTGATTTCCTGAAAGTGAACAGGAAATATTTTTTTCAAAATGCTTAAGAACTAAGATCAGGTCATCATTCATACTTTTACAACATTACTGTGAAACCTGGTAGAGCAAATGTAAGGAAACTGTTGGGGAACATAACGATCTTAAGAATTAAAACAAGGCTGCCAAGAACCAACTGCATTTTAAAGTTGTTTGGCTACCATTTTGACAATCATTTAGCATCCTGAATTATAAATATGGTCTCTTTAAACCTGATCTTTTCAAAAATTCAGAATAAAAATTAAAGATTTGTTGTGTTAAACTAAAAAAATCAAATATGTTAATGAATAAACACAAAAGGTGTGATTGCTTATTTAATGTCAGCACTATTCCCAGACCTCATCTTAACTACTGTTATAAATGAAACGGAGTGGTAGTTCTTGTTAATACTCAATACATCAATCATCTATAGGAAAAAGCCCCTCATCATTTTGGGAAAATAACTTCTCCTGAGTTTGAAGATCTGATATTTACATTTTTAAGCATACGATAACGTTTTGTTCCCAATTACTGTACTGTATAGTTCAATTCTCAAGAAGCACTATTTCAAAAAGATTCCCCAAGCACTTCATTGACACAGAAGCCCAGATTTCTTCATCACGTAAAAGGTATAGGACCTAGAGAAAGCTTACCCAAAGTACCTCTACACTTAGCCAAAGGCATTAGTAAATAGTACTCAGGACAACCTTGCCGCCTTCCTGAATTCAGTTCAGATCATTTTTAACCTCTCAGTATGGCGCACCAAGTCCTGACCCTGTTCCAATTCTTTGAGAATTCACATTGTTTCAATGGTGCTCAACACTAAAAATGACTAAGAAACCTACAGATGCAAGGCTTAACAGCTTAGCACACTTAAGCTTCAACTGTACCACAACAGCGCTTTCTCAATTCATGACAGGGCAACTAACAAATAGAGAAGGAATAAAACAAACTCAAATAGTAATGGTATAGAAAGTTTAAGTTCAATGATTAATGTAAAGCTCTCAGGACACTAACAATGCAAATACAATTTTTATTTTCTCGGTTTTATGCTTTTGAAAATCTCAAAGTTGTTATATTCTAAAAGAGCTTTATAGTAGCACTGCCAGAAGATAAGAGAACAAAAGCAATTGAAAAAGAAAAAAAAGTAAAGATAAAAGATTTCTTCCAAATTCACTTACATTCACAGCTTCCACCTTGTACTCATCATCACTGTCAGGAGCAGAGAGGTCCAACAGAATTGGACACACCTTATTTTCAATGTCACTCTGAGCAACAAGATCTTGTTCTAGCAGTATAAGCAGTGCTTCCTGACCTGCCTTTCTAACCTATTAATATGAACAAACAAAAACAAAAAAGTACATCATCGTAAAAACTTTTACTGATACAAGAACCACAAAAGGTACGTTTTCAATGAACACACAGGCACGAGTTAAAAAAAAAATAGAAAAAACCTCTCAGTTTTAACAACATAAGGAATTAATAATAAATACTAAAGTTTAATATAATAGTTAGATGCCCTTTCATCAAATTCTGAGGAAAAGCCAAAAGATGAAGTAGAAGACAGGACTTAAGTCATGACTCCTGTAACAGACTATGTCAATACACTGCTAGGTAAATCCTATAAGTTTCCCATTATCTGCTAAGGAAAGTATTTAAAAAAGTATATATATGTGTGTGTGTATATATATATATATTCAGACTTCCCTAGCAAAGTGTGCTGAAACCAATAAACACAAAGCACTACATGAAAGCTAGGTATCAATCAACATGGACTTTCCCATTTTCTCTTCCTCATGCCTCAAATTCACAGAACCACCCAGAATTTTCCAACGATTCAACTCATGTAGTCTGTTTTTCCTACCTGATTGTTAACATCCGTGAGGTATCTCACTACTATGGGCATAAGGTACTCAAAAAACGCCGTTGGGAATTTTGGTCGACTTTCTTGCAGAAAAATGGCAATAGGAGGTATTTGTTCCATCAGCTCTGTACGTACAGTTGGTTCTAGCAATAAAAAGCCAAAACTACATCAGTAAATACCAAATTAAGATCAAGTACCTTAAGAAAAAAGTAGCAATTTTTTTTGTTTAATGTTTCACAACAGAAGAAAATGAAAAGACTCAAAACATAAGAAATATCACCACTGAGATTGCCTGTTCTTAAAGGAAAGCTGAATAAAATAGGACAGCCTTACATACATCATCACAGTCCAGAGACTTGGGATCAGCTCCCAAATAAATCAGATAAAATGAGAGCACTAGCTAGAAAACCCAATCACCATGAATGTGTACACATGAAGTATTAAAGCATACAACTGCTCTGTGCCACATACACCACACATTCAGATGTACTGAACTCCTTGAAAAATACTACTTTGGGCCTTATACTAAGTAAGAGGCTTTCATTTATACACCTACCATACAAAATACTTCAAAAACAGAGAAAAAAATTAATCTCCTTTTCACTGACAGATATTGCTGTTAGATGATTTCATTTCTTTAGTTCACTCATTGCCTTCTCAAAATCGAATGTTATTGCCTTCTATATTGCAGCTTATGTAAAATAAGTTACAAAAATTAAAAAACAAACAAACAAAACACCCCACAAACAAAAACCCCAACAAAACAAAACACAAAAACTTTCAAACCTGCATCTTCAGAGAGCCTGACCACTATTTCCATTACAGTCAGGAAGTCTTCTTCATTATTACTGAAATCTCGAAAGATATCCAAAAGACCTCTGGCAATAATTTGCCTGTGGAATGAACAACATATTAATTGCCTTAATATCCTGCCAACAACATGCAGATGGGATGCAAGGGGAACTTATCAAATGTAGATGGGCACCTTAGAAAAGATCAAGCTCTTCTCTGAACATTCAGACATATCAGTTATACAGTTTCTCCACATCCCAACAAAACAAAGATGGAGTTAAGAAATCTTATTCAGATGACCAGGAATGAAAACCTCTTTTTATGGAAATATTATATAAAAGTTATTCAAACAGAAATAATATTAGTCACATGCTTAGGAGAATGATAACAGAAGTTGTAACACCTTAATATCCACAATGCTATCGCACTCGGGTTATCATCAGTGTAGCTGTTGTACCCTTACCTGTTAAATATGTTATCACTGAAGGCGTATTTTTCTAGACGAGCCAGTGGAGTTAAATTGTCCTGTCCAGGAATATCCAAGAATGCCGTTATCCTCATGCTATCACAGTCTGGTCCATAATCTTCAAACCCAACTTGAAAGACAAGAAGAGTAAACAAAAAAAAATTCCAAGAGTCAGCAAGAGATGTTACAGTGTAAAATACACTATACCAATAAGTCTATTTCTTTTTAGAGCTATTCTTCAAAGGAAAAGTAACTGTACATCACTGGAAATGGCTTACAAAAAGATCTTAAGTTGTACCTAATGAAGTCAAGAGCAAGACTTGCATATAAACCTGTAAATTCAAGCTTTGAAATTTAATTCATTTCAACTGCCATAAAATCCTTGGCTTTTAACACATTTTACTTCACAATTTCAGTGGACTATCCACATGCACTATGAGTTAAGAGAGCTCAGCTGACAAAATTGCATGCCACAACCTGACAGACAAATTCAAAAGGAAAATCAGTCCCATTAAAAGAAACTGAATTTTTAACAAATGACAGAAAATCCCAAATGGTATTGCTCTAAAACAGCAAATTCTTGGGTGTATTTTGAAGTTACCAAGGTACATTTTTCTCGCTGTAGTTACTGGGTCCCATACATCTAAGTCAGATTGGTAACTTTGGGAAAAACTTCAACTTTACCTTACTTGTGAACATACTGGGAGCTTTCTACTTGTCCTGGTTTCGGCTTTCCCTGGGGTTTTGTTTTTTTCTCTCTCCCGTTGTTTTACTTTCCATTACAATTTATTATTAATACTTGAAATAACAGAGTAATAATAAACTGTTCTTATCTCAACCCACGAGTTTTCTTACTTTTGCTCTTCCAATTCTCTACCCCATCCCACCGGGGGGTGGGTGGGCAGGGAGGGTGAGCGAGCAGCTGTGTGTGGGGCTTGGCTGCTGACTGGGGTTAAACCACAACACTACTGCAGACCTATCAACTACAGACTTTCCCATGCAAACCTACTCTTTTCTAAATCTTTTTTGTATTTGCGGCTTGAGACTTTTAACCAAGTATTACCATACCAACTGTTAAAATTTGCCCCACCAAGTCTTACAGTCACCTAATCCAGTAACATGCACTTGATTACAGATTACAGGCAAAAAGTAAGACTGTGAAAAGCAGAGGGAATAGGATAACTTTTCTGCCAAATTTTTTTTTAATCCTTCACCCTTAAAATAAAGGCAGTGAAATAACCTGCCTGCAACACAAATTCTCTCACTTCAGCAATCTATATGAGAAAACATACAGCAACCAAATCCACAGGAAGAGTTGCACTAGAGCAGCTGATATTCCTGCTCTGGGTTTACAACTTTCCCAGCCAAGCACTCCTAGAATTATGCATACTTCGTTCATATAAATAATATAGCAACTGTGATCATACTTAACCACATGCAAATTGAGTCAATACTGCTTCTCAGATGCAAGTAGTAGTCTCTCAAACCAGCATATGTGCTGAGAGTGACAACCACTGAAGACAACAAGCCAGTTTCTGACTTGGCAGGACACATTATTAGGTATTTAAATCAGTAAAGAAACCACAAAACTGGTAACAACTTGAAAGCACAATGACAAGCCAAATAGGTTGTATTTGAAACTGTGCCTATGAGACTATAATCTAGGCATTCTAGGTTATGCCTCTAACAGGCAGAGACCTCCTGTCTTCAGGCAGTGGAACTTACATGGTGCCTCCATATCAAAAAACAGCAGAGCTTTGGCTAATTAACTAAAAGCAAACCAGGAATAGTTTCATTTATAGCACCAGTTTCCCCTGTTTGTAAAATGGGAAGAACAGGAATACCCTCTCCCACTGACGCACTTTGAAGATTAAGAAATGTGTATGTAAAGTACTATATAATCCCTGTCTTCAGTATTCTGGTTTAATTAAAAAAATTACAGTCCTTCCCTATATGTCATCCCAATCAGTACAAAGCTTTTGCACATCTTAAAGGAAAGTCTGTGTAATTTCATAATGCACTCTGAAACTGCCAGTGGGTTAAATTATGTGTATATGTAATTCCACAATCTCCGATATAACAATTTCTTCAGGATTGAAGTGGCTGTACCTTAATCAGGATAATTAACCTTCAGCTCTACCCTCACTCTTACTTTACCAGTTTTATATTACAAACACTCTTCCCTAAAGAATCCCTTAATCTGAGACCCAGCACAATGAACTTTGCCTCTAAACTACCTTAATACCCATTATAAATCACTTTTTATATTAAAACCCCCTCTATTAGCAAGAGGTACCAAGCCTCAGCTTTTTTCCTACAGAAAAATTCCTGTTTCACATATAAAACTCTGCTTTACAACTATTTAACACAAGCCAAAACATTCTCAGAAATACAGCTTATTAAAAAAGGAAATAATCTGAACATACTTGGACCAAAATGTTATACCTGGGTCTTCAGGGAAAAAAAATAAAAAGCAGACTGGTTTAAGAAAGCACAGTCTCCAAGGAATCCAGTTGAATTAAAAGGCTAGAGCAATTCTGAATGCAATTCTTGCAGACAATATGCTCTGACCAACAAGTTCAATGGGATTCAAACAGAAGAAAACTATGGGATTAGACTAAATGTTCACATTTCAAATGTATACACAGATACTACAAGTGAACCCACAACTACATGATCAGAAACATATGCTAATTTTTCATGGCTTTTTATAATGACTACATATTGTACTGACACCCTTATTTCCATTCAACTGGTCATTATTATTTCTAGTAGCTGCTCTTTATATAAGTTCTGTCAGGTTCAAAACACTTATACACAAGTGTATATAATTTACATTGCACAGATCTGCCTGGGATTGATCCGTCCACATGCTCTAGGGCTAGCTTTCCCACCAAGCATGGTATCTGAAGAGGTGGCATCCAGTATCTCCTGCTTCAAAAGAAACCTACTGTATCACTGAAAGCTCACAGGAAGTTATACAGCCTATGTAGGATCGTGGATTTCCTTTCTGAGGTTGCAACAAACTCTCCGTATCCAAACCCAACTCTGACCATCCTTATATCTATGCAATTACATATATATTTTAAAATCCACACAGACTGGACACTCTTTAACCAATTTTTGAGGCTAGCCACCTGTTATACAAAGGAAGATTTATTAGGGCTTAAAAAAAAATCAATATACTTGCCACTAACTTTATCTAGTGCCCACTTGTTCTTGAATTAAGAAACAGTTTAAAAATGAAGGCTGTCATCAGTTCACATCTTTCAGAATTCCTACCAATTCAAATGACAATTAAGTAAATCGAAGTAAATCTCAATTCTAAGTTTGACTACAATACTACACCTGGGACTAATTTTGCTTAATTTCACTACTTGCAGTAGTTCTATTATTCACTTAAAATAGCTAAGCACACACCAGTGCTTCTAGGACCAGAGGGAAAACAGAGCAAACTACTTATGCCAAGGATCAAGAGAGTTAGATACCTGAAATTTTTTCCACACACTCAGTACACATAAGTAAGGAATAATCATGGCAGAATCCATTTTGTCTTCTCTCAAGAATTTTAATTTTCTTTTTCCGTAAAATAAGAAGCCATAGGTACTTAAAAGTTTCAGAATACACCAGAATACTAGAAAGTAAATTACAGAAAAATAATGAACTAGTATTTCTTATCTAATGTTCTTTCATAGGTGAATCAAACATACAGTATTTTTCGCTCTAACAATATCAAACAAGCAAGCTTGAAATCTGTCCACCTATAAACAAGAATAAATGTGACAGTATTCACAGCTGAAATTGAGTTCACCATGCCTTAGTTTGGCCTAGACTCAAAAGCTGCTTAGAGCCTATAAGAAACACCTACAGGGTCACAGGATTTAACTATGCAATTCAATGTCATTAGCTAGCATCACTATCCACTGTTGCCAAGGCAAAACAGTAAATACTAGTGCAGAGTGCAATGATTTCATGAGCTCAAAGAGGTCTTCTCTCATGCTGTTTTTAGAAGGAAAAACAATTTTTAAAATACATTTTCTTTATTGTACAAAGGGCATAATTAAGCTAATTATTTTTCCAGCTGATCTAATATCTCACCTTACAAAAAGCAAGTTTCAAATCGTACTTGATGAATTTAGGTACATTTTACTACAGCTTTCACCCAAATTCAAAGGAATCCCCCAGTCTCTCTGTTTGTTTCAGTGGAATTGATCTTCAATGTGCATAACACTATTTCACCAATTTAGCTAAGAAAGTAAAAATCCAGTTCCAGTGATTTATTTCACTGAGATTTTCCTAAAACGCACCATGAACTCTTTGCTAGACTAGTCATTGGATTAGCACAACAGCATCTCAGTCTAGACGGGATGTCTGAACTCTGCTGCAACACAAACAGAAGACAGCTTCCAATGCCATAATTCTAACTGCATTGTCAAATTAATCAACTTAATCAAAGAATATTTTTAAATCATAAAATAAGATTTCAATAATGCTCTAAAATGCACATCCCTTTATTTACATGCTGATAATTTCTTTTACACAAATTTAAAGTGACCCATATAAAAAGCTTATTAATTACCGCTTATGGCAGAACTTCCTTTATCTGAACACTTTTATTAACTTCATGACTCAAACTAGAGTTTTGCTTACAAGCGTCAAACTTCTTAATCGACTTAATAGACTTAACAGACAAACCCGTTACTCACAGTCTCAACAGAACAGCCAACGACTGAACACTAATGGAGAACGAACACCTAACTCCTAGTGATGGTCACCCCTGGTTCCAGGCCAAGACCCATAACAGAACAGGAAGTCTGCATTTATTTCCGCTGCTTGTACTTTACACACTCAGCAAACAGAACTCAAACTACACACTAGTTTTGGGTTTGTTTTTTTTTCTTAATACAGAGAGAAGAAAATTGGAAAGGGAACTGGGAGCAATTCAGAAAGACCCAATCAACTCAAATAGCTAAGCATTCATTAGCACTATGAAGTGTTTCATTTGTTGGGGGGTTTTGTTGTTTTTTGTTGTTTGGGTTTTTTTGGTTTTAAATTAGGGCAGAGAGAGAAAGATATTTTCAACTCTTAAATAAGGTACTACAGCAACAACTGTTGCAGCTCTTCCGCTAGAGGAACTCACTGCAAAACAGTCTTTAAATCACGTCCTGGTTTCGGCAGGGATAGAGTTAATTTCCTTCCTAGTAGCTGGTACAGTGCTGTGTTTTGGATTTAGGATGAGAATAATGTTGATAACACACCGATGTTTTAGTTCTTGCTGAGCAGTGCTTACACTAGTCAAGGACTTTTCAGCTTCCCATGCTCTACCGACTGAGAAGGCGGGAGGTGCACAAGAAGCTGGGAGGGGGCACAGCCAGGACAGCTGACCCCAACTGGCCA